GCTTTGCTTAAATACCAAAACACTGTCTATAACACTTCCCTAAGAGGATCCATTTATTCTATAATTTCTAAAATAGAAAACTAATTTTGTCTGGCATGAATTGTTTTTAGTGAGCAAATGCTGCCTCCTAGTGATCAGTTCCTTAAGCACTCACAAACCATCTTAATAATTTAATTTAAATTTATTTCATGATCAAAATCAAGTTGGCTGTCACAATTTGTGGAATTTATAGTCTTTCCATTTGTGATAAAAAGACAGATTAGTTCATCCTACCTTTTAGCTACTGCTTTATTCTATACCACTTCCCTGATACAACTTTCAATGGTCCAGCAATTTATTCAGTGAGCTAGATCAAGGACTGGTAAACTCCAGCCCTAAAGACATAATCTAGACTGCTACCTGTTTTTGTAGATAACATTTTGTTGGAACAGAGCCATGCTCTTTCATCATGTAGTGTCCATGGCCAATTTCATACAATGGGAGAGCTGAGTAGTTCCCACCTCCAGCATATAAGGCCGGCACCCTACTCCTTTGAGCCACGGGTGCTGCCCAAGAGTTGAGTAGTTTTAACAGAAACTGTACAGCCCCCTAAAGCCTAAAATATTTACTATCAGACCTTTTACAGATAAAGTTTGCCAACACCTTCTCCAGATGGGCCTGATTCAAACTTACTTATTCATCTGTCCTAGGCATCACTTTCATCTTATTAATCCTTATCCTACTTAATACAAACTAAAATCCATTCTTCTTAAGAGAGATAACAAAAGCAAAATACAAGGTGAGGCCAGTGATAGATTGCCATTCCCCTCGATCAGAGAATCCAGAATCCAGAATCTCTTACCCTGACTAATCTCCTGGCTTCTCAACCAATTTCTCCTCCAGATTTCTACCCAGATAGACAGTCTTTTAAATAAGAAATCCAATTTAACTACCTTAAACTCTTTTTTTTTCTCTTTTTTTCTTTTATTGAATGGTAACTGTGTACATTAATGCACTTCTGGGGTACAGTGTGGTTTTTTCACACACAATCCGAAACACTTCCATCAAACCGGTTAACATAGCCTTCATGTCATTTTCTTAGTTATTGTGTTAAAATGTTCATATTCTACTCATAGAAAGATTCACTTGTACCTTTGTAAGATAAACCACAGAAGTGTCTACCTTAAACTCTTCAAGGTGTTTACCTTTTATGTCCAAGACCAAAATCTAAACTCTTTATTACAACAAAAAATGCCCTAGTGCTCGCCTGTCAGACGTGCCTGTCTCCCGCTTTTCCTGCACACATACACTCAGCGAGGAATACGGAACAGCTAGACCAGCTGCGGCTGTCTCTCAGCAGCCCTCTGCATTTTGCATGCATTTACTCTCCTTGAATATATGCTCCTTCTTCTTTACTATTCTTCAAGTCACGAGTCAAGTATTTTCTCTTCAGGAACTTTTTCTGTTTCTCTGGTAGACTTCTGAGTACTCTACCCGGTGTGGCTGCACATATACACATGCACACGTGTGCGTGTACAAACATATATATCTATTGATGCATCTAGCTATCTTTTCTCTCTAGAATGGCATTTTGCACAGTCATCTGGCTGCGTGCCTGCCACTGAAGTAGACTGCAAGTAACTTAAAGGCATGAAATGTGATTCTGATCTTGTCATCTCCTGTGTTTAATACACACCCAAGTACAGAAACTGCCCAATTCAAGGTATCTAAGAGTCTGAGGAATTTTTCACAGTGCCCCTAGGACAAAATAAATATGTGACAGCTCTATTTACTAAGTAGTAGTCTAGTAACTTAGCAACCATTAAAAAACACAGTAAATTGAAATAAAAAATATTTATACCATTCTTAAATAACTACAACCACTTATCATGGTAAGTGTGTAACCTATAGGGTGTTACACAAATTCTCAAACACAATCAAGACTGGACATCGCCATCTTCATTTCCTGTGCCATTCCAATTTTGGTATGGCATTTGTTTTTATCACAACCACTGAAAACTCAGCTTTGCAAAGACATGATTGACAGAAAGAAATAAAGTATGAGCTAATACTGAAATGCTAAACTACTTTGAACTAGTAGTTTCCTCAATGTCTCACAAATGTCAAATCTCACCGTGTTTCCCTTGAAAATTCCACAGTGACCCTGTAAGTTCACTACAACACCTTTGGCTCACAGTTTAGGAATCACAGCTCTATTGCACAGAAGTTCACTAAATATTTATCCCAGCTAGAATGTTTGCATGATAAATTTACATACAAAATTAATCAAGACTTTGTATTTTAAAAAGAAAAAAATAGTTATAGGTGTGAGCAAACTTACTCAGCCAGGTAATAAATATTTTAGCTTGTAAACCACACGGTCCCTTTAGCATTTACTCGGTTTTGTCACTGCAACATCAAAGCAGATATAGACAATGCATAAATGATGGGCATCATTGTATTCAAGTACATCTTCACTTATAAAACCAGGTAGCCAGCTTGTAGGCTGCTGTTTGCTGCTGTTTGTTTAAAAAGTAAACAGTTTCCACACTAAAGTTACTAAAAACTTAGAAACAAAAGATGAGAGTAAATGACTCTGTGCTGATATGAATATATGAATATATCAACATTTTTATGAATAAGGGGATTATAAAGAGAAAGAATAACTTCATAAGGAGAGCATGGCAGACAACTCAATCAAAGTTAGAATAATCACTAAAGGGACAAATATGAGTAACATACCACTCGATAGGAGGCAATGGGAAGAATACAAAATCACTACTGTGATATTTATGCCAAAGACCTGTAAGTAAAAATTAATGATGAGGCACATCAGAAAAATCTGAATGGAGGGTCATTCTATAAAATAACTAACCTGTAATGTTCATAAATATCAAAGTTATGAAAATCAAGAGGGGCTGAAGAAATAGTTTGAGAAAAATGATGATAATAGAGCTATGACGACCAAATTCATCTACATGCAATGTATAATTCTGAACTGGATCATTTTGCTATAAAGAACAGTATTGATATAATGGTGACAACTGAATGTGGTGTGAAAATTAGATACTACTAATTTTTCAATGTTCATTTCCTAATTTTGCTATTTATATTGTAGGAGAGTTATCTTTGGTGATAAAAAATATACACGAAAGTGAAGTCAGGAACTTATTCTCAAATAGTTCAAAAAAAAATGTTCTTTGTACTGTACTTACAACTTGTAACTTTTGAGATTATTTTCAATTTTTTTAAATTTTTAATCATTTAAGTTAAACAGTGGAGAAGCAGATATGCTTCATATTTCTATCTTATATGTATTACATATATTTTATATACACTAAATATATATGTCCTATGTATTTATATACTCTATATTTATATTGTCTATGGATATCAATGCTCTACATGTAGCAAACAGCTTGCCCTCTTCCCATCCCAGGTGATACTTCTTCATTTCCTTACTGGGCAAACACACGCCCTATGGAATGCACAAGGACAATGATTATACATACTATCATTCTCCTTTATTTAAGGCAAGAAAGTTAGGTAAGTTTAGCTCAATCAGCAACTCTTTATTGAACATTATTAAGTTCAACTACATTCTCAGTAGTGAGATAGAGAAGGAAAGAAAAGAAACATCTAGAAAACATCTGTATGTGCCAGGTAAGGAGGAAGAAGAATGATTTCTACCTGTAAAGACTACATATTGTTTGGATAGATAAGACTGCCGTATAAATTCACCATAGAAACTTAATATATAATTAAGTACTAATTTATATAAATGGGTTAGGTCTGTATCTTACCTACTCATATCAATCTTATCAGAAGAGCAGTTAGATGTACCAAGGATGCTTAATTAAGAAAGACCTGGAAATATGGTTAATGGGTTACCACAAAAGTAGGAAACAGCGTTATAGTATAAAGCTAAAGAAATCAAGAGGACAAAGTATCATTCTCCATCATGAAACAGGCAGAGAGGCAAAACACTAGAAGATTCATGAATTCACCTGCATTTTGTACTGTTTTTTAGCCACCCCAGAAGTCTATGATATTGCTGAAAACAGCACACATTGCAAAGCTGGTATACAAAGAGCAAGTCAGTTAGCAATTAAGTAAACCTAGTTGATCATCAGAATCTATATCAAAATTAGAATCTAGAAGAGAGAAAACAGGTAGACGCTTAGGATATTTTTCTAGGTCAGAGACTGTCAAACTAAGGGTATTAATAAGTATTTTCTAAGACAATAAAATATTTAAAAAATTGGAATACAATGATACAAAATTAGGCAAGTCTCTTTAATTATAGAACTTCTTGCAGCTGACATGCTAATATGTGTTGTACACCTAAAAAGAGAAGGTTATAAATATGCAGCATTTCATGTAGATCAGCAGCCATATCAAAATGTCTAAGTGTAGAAAATGTCTTAACATGCAGATAAAATGAATTAAAAAGAGAGCTACTTTTGGAGGTAGAACATCAGCAATAATAGCAACAATAACTCCAGCTGATGCTTTCTAGGAGCCTCACACACAATAACTCTATCAGCATTGTATCATTATGATCCCCGTGGCTACTTTGAAGAAAATGAGGTATAGAAAGATTAAGTAAATTACCAAAGGTCATATGGCTAGCAAGTGGCCATGTCAGAATTTAGACTCAGGCAGTTGGGCTCCAGCACTCATGCTTTCAACCATTACCTCATGTGACTTAATGAAATTCTCGCTCATTCATCCCCAAATAGATTATTGATTGGATATTAAACAAGAATGACAAATAAGCACAATGATTAACTTAAATCAAAGGCTAAGAATTTTAAAAGCCCTATTTAATGAAATTAGGGATAGGAGCAGGTGGTAAAAATGCTACAATATTTACATACATATTTACAATATATACATTATGAAGTATATAGTCATAGTTTGTTAAAATTTGGAAGCATTTCAAGCAAAGAATATGCACCCCAGTTTCTTAATTTGCACTAAGGAAAACAACATAGTGAACATTGTAGAAGGGTTCTCACTGTGATTCTCTTCATATCTAGCTGGCGCAGCTGCATCATATTCTGAAGGACAGTGTGTTTGTACCATGACTCTTGAGCTATTGGATTGCCATCAAAGGAGATGTCTGAGAGGGAAGTAGAGTCAGCAAGGCAGGAAACACTGTCAAAACTGCAGGAGAGACGGAAACCGTTAGATTATTCTGAGGTCCTTCGATAATACCTTTATTTTTTTTAATAGGCTTTATTTTATATAACAGTTTTAGACTTACAGAAAGATTGAGAAAGTATAGGGTTCCCATAAACTCTATGCCCAGTTCCCCATATTAGTAACATACAGAGATTCCCCCTGTATAAACCTATCATACTAAGGTATTCTTTAATAGCACACTTGTTACAATTAATGAACCAATAGCAATACATTCTTACTAACAAAAGTCTATATTTTATCCAGATTTCCTTAGTTTTTACCTAATGTCTTTTTTCTGTTTCAGGATCCCATCCAGGATATCATATTACATTTAGTTGTCATGTCTCCTTAGGCTCCTCTTGGCTGTGACAGTTTCTTAGACTTTCCTTGTTTTTGATGACCTTGAGAGTTTTGAGGAATACTCATCAGTTATTTTGTAGAATGTCCCTTTATTAGACTTTGTCTGAAAATCTTCTCATGATTAGACTGGGGTTAAGGTACTATTAATGTTAATATGACTTATCACTATTGATGGTGACCTGACCACCTGGCTGAAGCAGTGTTATTCAGGTTTCTCCAAAATAAAACTATTATTCCCTTCTCCCTTTTCAGACTAAACTCTGTAATGAGGTCATTATGTGCAGCCCTCACTAGGCTCCCACGTTTGAGAGCAGAGCATTTACGTAAATTATTTGGAATTCTTTATAGGACTATTTTTTGTTTATTTCAGTTCGAACTTGTAGATATTTATTCTATACTTTAAGTTATAATCCAGTATTACTTGACTTATTGTGCTGTTCAAAACTATTCCAGCTTTGGCCATTGGAAGCTCTTTCAACTGCCTCCTATGTCCCCGTTAGCTCCCATCAATGTAGATGTTTTGATTTTTTTGTGCACTTGGCCCTATAAGATTTTCTAGACTCATATAGTTCCTGTCCCAATCCTAGAATCAGCCATTTCTCCAATGAGCCATAATTGCTTTTATTGGAGAATGGTATTAAAAACAAAAAGCTGGCTGGTGCACTTTTTGCAGGTTCATTGCTTTTAGGTTTTCTCAGTTGACACAGCAAGAAAATACATGTGTATAGAAATATATACATATATTAATCTATAAATATTTCTCTATATAACCATCTGTGCCTATATTAAGCTAAACTTGAGTTTATACTCATGTCTCCAACTCTAATCCATCACTACATGGATCATTCTAGCCTTCTCCCCTTGCTTAATCTAAAAATTCCTACTCCCAACAAGAAGAAATTTGGTTCCTGCCATCTGCTATCCATTTACTTAATTGTACTTATAGAGGTATTAGAATTTTTAACCCATACATCCAATGGGAAACAACTTTATCCACTAAAGTATTTGATGAGGTATAATTCCTTTTGCATTCAGTCTTATTGACTCATTTCCAAAGTTACGTAGGTCAGTGCCTTTCCCCTTAGGTTGTTTCATACACTGGAAATACAATTAAATTCTCTTATCATAGTCTCTATTCCTTTCTGAAACCCTCCAACCTCCTAAATAATTTTTTAAATTTTTCACACAATATTTATGCTTGCTGTAAAGTTCTATGGGTTTTGACAAATGCATACTGTCAAATGCACACCATTAAAATATAATAAAGAACAGTTTTGTGGCCTTAGAAAAATCCTCTATACTTTAATCGTTCTGCTCCTTCCCAAATCCCTGGCAACCATTGACCTTTTTATTGTCTCTAGAGTTATTTCCAGAATGTCATATAACTGAAATCATATAATTTGTGCTTTTCAGACTGATTGCTTTCATTTAGCAATATGCATTTAAGGATTATCCAGGCCTTTTCATGGCTTCCTAGCCCACTTCTTTCTTTCTTTTTTTTTTTTTTTTTTGAGACAGAGCCTCAAGCTGTCCCCCTGGGTAAAGTGCTGTGGCATTACAGCTCACAGCAACCTCCAACTCCTGGGCTCAAGCGAGTCTCCTGCCTCCGCCTCCCAAGTAGCTGGGACCCCATTTCTTTTTATTACTGAGTAATATTTCATTGTGTGGATGTACCACGGTTTCTTTATCCTTTTACCTATTGAAGACATTTTGGCTGCTTTCAGTTCTTGGAGATTATGAATAATGCTGCAAATAAATTCATCTGCAAGTTTTTGTGTGGACATAAACTGTCAACTCAATAGGATAAAAACTGAACAGTGCAATTGTTGGATCAAATAGTAAGACTGTTTATGTTAGCTTTGTAAAAACCCACCAAACTCTTCCAAAATGGGGGTACCATCTTGCACTCCTATCAGTTCCCCATCCTCACAGTGTTTGCTATTTGTGGTTTTGGTTTTAGCCTTACACATTACAATAGGTATGCAAGGGTATCTCATTGTGTTAATAATGCGATTACCTAATGACAAAGGATGCTGAGGTATTTTTATATGCAGATTTGCCATTTATGTATCTTCTTTGTCTTTTCAGCGCTTTCTCCCATTTTTAATCAGATTCTTTCTTACAATGAAATTCTAAGAGTTTGGGTTTTTTACATTACCTACTATGTTTTTTATATCACCTATTTTTGTGTGGGTCTGCTTCTGGGACTTTTTAATCAGATATATGTTTTGCAAATATTTATCCCAGTTTGTAGCTTGTCTTTTAATTCTCTTAAACATTGTCTTTCACAAAGAATTTTTAATCTTACTTATCTCCAACTCATCGATTTTCCCTCTCATGGATCTTAAGGTCTTTTATCTAAAAACTCATTGCCAAACCCAATATTGCCTGGATTTTCTCCTAAGTTTTCTTCTAGAAATTTAATAGTTTTGTGTTTTACATTTAATTCTCTGATTGCTCTTGAGTTAACTTAGTGAAAGATGTAAGATCTATGTCTATATTCATATTTTTTCATAAAGACGTCCAACTGTTTCAGCACCATTTGTTGAAAAGACTATCCTTTCTCTATGGAATTGCTTTTGCTCCTTTGTCAAAGATCACCTATTTTTGTGTGGGTCTGCTTCTGGGACTTTTATTCAGTTTCACTGACGTGTCTATTCTTTTATCAATAGCATGCTGTCCTGATTGTTGTAGCTTTCCAGTGAATCATTTTGTAGCTCTGAAATGATTTAAAGATTTAAATACTTTACTTACCACAAGAATAAAATATGTTTTGTTGTGATGCGGACACAACTCTTCTTCCAGCAAGAAAATTACAACAGCCCTTATCAGACCACATATGTGAGTTGCTGGCCTAAACTACTGTACTCCAAAACACATTTAAACCCAAGATTTTGATAGACAGATTGAGAGGGTATCCTTTGGCAGGGCTATTCTCTGTCAGCCTGTGAACTACTCTCTTAAGGCTCGCCCAGCAATGTTAGCACTGTTCACTAGTGTTGAGGGACCTTGCATGTTGACGTGGATCTCTGTTGTGCTGATCAAGCCATCTGTCCTGAGAACCTCTCATACAAAAGTATTCTTCAAACCTCAATTAGACTTTACATCCACAGAGGCCTGCTTCTATCCTGAGTAACCAGAATTTAATAATTAGACTCTAATTGAAATTGAAACTCACTATGTTAATGTACCTCATCTATTAAATGTATTCCCCATGAGATTTGTTCTTGTTATTCTCCCCCCTTTGAGCACTGTAAATAAAAAAGAGAACCTTGTTGCATGGCAATAAACCATGTGATGTGTGAAGCTATTATTTTAACCATATCAAAACAGTCTTGAAATGAGTTAGTGTGAGTCCTTCAACTTTGTTCTTCAGTATCGTGTCACTACTCTAGGTCTTAACCTTTCTATATAAACTTTAGAATCCATTTGTTGATAACTATAAAATAACTTGCTGGAATTTTCATTTTTTACAGAAGGGAATAATCACTTCACTAAATAAGGCCCCAGAGCACCTTGATAAAACTCATTTACACAAATAAATTTATAGTTTTTATTGTCATATTTAAATATTTCTATATTTTCCTGACACTCAAGATAAAAAGATACCCTGCTATTAATTATTTCCCTCAGAGCTTATCTTTACCAATCTAAAAGACAAGCATCACAATTTGTATGTACATCATGGTATTTGAGATATGTTTAGATAATAATAGGAAGGGATTTTTAACAGGCTAGTATATGTAGGTAAAAATAAAAATGTATAGATTTAAACTTAATAATCACTTCAAGTTTAAACAACTTGAATAAATTATAATTTTTTCCTACATAGCACTATCACATTTCATTTTATTCATTAATATAAAAATCTCAAAACAGTTTCTAGTCTCCGAGACAGCTGTTTAAAGCATGTTTCTCTCCTTTCCCCATAGTTGTTTACATAAAACTTCAATTAAAAAAAGGGCTGTGAAGGCAATATTCTATTTCTTCCATATTATTAAAGTGGACTAACTCTCTAGAAATCTGTTTCTTTTCTTATTTTTTTTTAATTTTTAATTTTTTGAGACAAAGTCTCACTTGGTTACCCTTGGTAGAGTGCTGTGGCATCTTAGCTCCCAGCAATCTCAAACTCCTGGGTTTAAATGATCTGCTTGCCTCAGCCTCCCAAGTAGCTGGGACTACAGGTACCCACCACAATCTCTGGCTACGATGGGGTCTTGCTCTGGCTCAGGCTGGTCTCGAACCTGTGAGCTTAGGCAACCCACCCACCTCAGCCTTCCAAGTACTGGGATAGAAATCTGTTCATGCATATCTCCTATTTGATAAATGTCTTTGTCAAATCAGTTGCCATCTACACCAATTCCTGTTTAAGAAATCAATGATTGAGAATGAGAACTGTGAAGAGTCATCAAGAGATTTTAAGTTAAGGGGCTAACGTGATCACAATTGTATCATAGAAAAACCACATCTTAGTGACATTACTGAGGATATAAAGGAAGGAAAGGAGTCAAAAACTAATTCTGAAGTAGATAGTAAGAGAGATTAAAAATGGTAAGGGCCCAACATATCAAAAACTGAAGGAGTTGTGAGCAAAGAAGAAATAGGTTCTATGGCAGTTTAGA